GGCCAGTCACCAGACCATCCCTGAAGTCCCTGTATGGCCTCTCCCAGGGCTGGCTTGCAAGGGAAGGTGAGTGTGCAGTGGGGATTTAGGGCAAGGTGGAGGCCCCCCCAGGCTTCCACAAGGATCGTCCTGGGCTTCCAGGGAGGCAAGACCAAGGTAGAGGTTTGCCTGGGAATTTTCTAGGAAAGAAGTCATGCCCTGAGTTGCCCCATTTTTATGACTGGAGAACAGGAACACTAGTACCTGGAGGTATCCTGGAGCCAGGACTGTCCCCTCTGGTCTACAGATTCTGCCATGACCCCGGCTCAGTCTCTTTGGAACTCTGAGAGAATCATGGTGGTTTGGGATGCCGGAATACTCCAGATTAGCAGCAGAAGGTGTGCAAGCATATGCATGCATGGAGAATTTGTAAGCCTCAGAGGTTAGTTCTTGCTCCGCTCACAAGCCAGCCTGACCCTCCAGGGTGGACCAGTGGCCATAGCATAGACAATGGAGGGCACACACCAAAGCTTGAATGGCCTTTGGACTCCCCTTGACATCACAGGCAGATGGGTAGGAAATAGGCCACCCCGTCATCCAGTCAGGTGGATAACAGCACCTGCTCACACCCAGGCCTGGGCCAGTGGCAGGTCTGCAGGGCGAACAAGGGAAGGAAAGTCCTGGCTCTCAGGGGGACGAGTCTGCCTGTGGTACTTCACACAAGCATAATGGCCTGAGGCCTCTGCAAGCCAAAGCTGTATGAGCAAGGGCTGATCATATGTCTTCACTCATTTATTAATTTTTTTAATTAGTAAAGTTATTTGAAGTAGTTTTAGGTTCACAGCAAAACTGAGTGGAAAGTACAGGGAGTTTCCATATCGCACTGTCCCCACACATCCACAACCTCTTTTCATTCATTCATTTTTCTTTCTTCCTTTTTTTGAGATGGGGTCTCACTCTGTCACCCAGGCTGGAGTGCAGTGGGTGTGATTTTGGCTCACTGCAACCTCCGCCTCCCAGGCTGAAGTGATCTTCCCACCTCAGCCTCCCCAGTAGCTGGGACCACAGGCGTGTCCCACCATGCCCAGCTAATTTTTCTGTATTTTTGGTAGAGATAGGGTTTTGCCGTGTTGCCGAGTCTGGTCTCGAACTCCTGAGTTCAGACAATCCACCTTGGCCTTCCAAAGTGCTGGGATTACAGGCATGAGCCACCATACTTGGCCTGTGAGAAAACATTTTAAGTGGTCAATTTTTAAGGCATGATAAATCTAAGTAATGGCAGCCAGCCTGAAAATGTAACAAACCACAGGGCTCATGCATCTAGAAGGTCACAATAAATGAACAGAATGTAGAGGAGGGGTGAACCCATAAAAGGGAAAAAAGTTTCATTATTGGGAAATCTAAACTTAAGTGGGGAAGGGGATGGGGTATAATCTTATAAGGGGGATAATAAAACGTAGGCAATGTTTGGAAAGATTGTAACCCCATGGTACTCGATCAGTGAGGAACTGGGGGAGGGACTTTTGTGCTAGGAGATAAATTACCTGCTGTGACTGTCCTAGGTGTGCCTGCCTGCAAGACACCCGATATTGCAAGACCACTATTAAAAGTCTCACTTTCACTGTTCTTCATGCCTCTAAGTCCATTCTTTGGGTTTGGACAGGTGAGCATGTTTCTCACAACCTGGGGGCCTGTCCGGGATCTCTGTGCCTGCGTGGAGTGGGACTCTGGCCAAGAGAGGAGACATGTCCTACCCAATTTAGGTGGCCTGCTCTGTCGGGCATCCCAGCTCCCCACAGAAGCCACAGACAAACCCAAGACTTACTCAGGAGACAGTCGAGATGACACAGGGAGAAAAGCAGGCACTGTGGCAACCAGGCAACCTTGTGCATGAGCCAAGGTGGAAAACTGGACTATAAGTACTGCCTTGGTGGTTGGGCATTTTCGGCAGTTGAGTGTGTGTGTGACTGAGATGTAGCTTAGATACAAAGTGAGTGCAGAGTCCCAATCTGTGGTTCTCTTCTCCGGAGAGGGAGATGGCTGGAAATGGATGAAGCTATTCTCGGGGTGTGCAAGAAACCTCCAGTAAGGGGGTTGAGTACACAGGGAAACTCAGAGACTGACTGAAAATGGGAAACAGGAATTCTAGGCCTAGGTGACAAAGGAAATAGGGAGCCAAAGAGACTCCCTCTGATGTTCCCCCAGATAGTCCTTTGGGGAGAATGTGGCAGGTTTGGAGGAACAACCCTTGAACCAGGGACAAGGAAAAGCAAAAGATAATAAAGCATTGCTGTTTTATCTGGCCCAAAGACCCATTTGTAAGCCCTCAGTCTTTTGGCCCAGGTTTGGCTCAGATGAGGATTGGGTGTGCCAAACTTTAATTCTCTATGTGAATGATAAAACCCCATCCTCATAAGAAGAGATGTTATGCTGTCTGCTGGATCAAGGAATTCACCCCCATGTTCCCCTTCAAAGAAGAAGAAAAAGAGCCTAGTAAAAAGCCCTCACCTAGGGAAAAGCCCTGGGACCCCCGTCATGTGTGCCCGCTTCATATGTCTCACAAAATAGGGGACAGGAAGATCAAGGGGCAGCAGGAGGGTTAGAGGAAAAAAGACCTGGAGACCATGGGGGAGCTGAACCAACTGCTTCTTTAAATCCTTATCAAAATTTTTAAAAAGAATTAGAACAGTATAGGAGAGAGATTGAGAACTTCCCTATCCACACAGCAGGCATCTAGCATGTTCCCTTTTAGGGAAGTTCTTATGGAACAGGGAGAGATTGGCTTTGTAAATGCTCCTCTTACAAGTACTAATGTTAGGAATTTCAAGAAGGAAATGAAACCACTCCTAGGAGATCCCCTCGGTTTAGCAGACCAGCTGGACAAATTCATAGGACCAAGCTTTTACACCTGGGCTGAAATGATGTCTGTCTTAAATATCCTGTTCATAGGAGAAGAAAGGGGAATGATTAGGAGAGTGGCCATGACTATATGGGAGAGGTGACACCCTCCCAGGCAAGAAGTCTTGACAGTCGAACAAAAAACTTCCAAATGTTGATCCCAAATGGGATAATAATGATCCCAGGGACCAGGTCCAAATGCAGAACCTCAGAGAACTAATAATTAAAGGGATCAAAGAGTCCACTCCTAGGACTCAAAATGTCTGAAAGGCACTCGAGATTCAACAAGAAAAAGAGAAAACTCCCTCTGCATTCCTGCAGAGGCCAGAGATCCGATGGAGAAAAAAAAACAAACAAAAAAAAAACCAACCTCTGGATTAAATACAGAGGACCCAGTAAGTCAAAGCCTTTTAAAAGTTAACTTTGTAACTAAGAGCTGGCCTTGTGGGCCAGGAAATGCAGCTGCAGGTGTGGGGGTGGCAGGAGCCGCAGAGCGGGAGCAGACAGCTGAAATAAAGGTGGACAGTGTGAGAGAGAGCTAGTGTGAGTAAACCCTTGATAAAAGAACTAATGTCTATAGTACACAAAGGGAGTCATTGGGGACCCCAGGCTCTGTGTAATGCAATACTTAGTGAGGCAGCCTTGCTGGCTGGGGTGGATGCCAGGATTCTTGGTCTTGCAGCTGGGGAGATCGGGGTTGCACAGGTGGAGTGGGTTTGGAGCAGGAATTTGGTGGCCGGGGGAGGGAGCCGCTCTGCATTGAAAGGGGGACCCTAAGCAGGTTGCCAAGTTGCAATAAAAATGTTTAGAATTTTCATAAATGGGCTAGCAAGGAGGGGGCTAGTGAAGAGGGGATGTATTATCCTCCTAGGTTCTGATGATTTAGTTGTGACCAGGTGTGCTATCTGTTTAGAGCAGAGTTTCTATCAGCCTTTACCCCATTTTGTCACTTACCTGGGAGGGAGAGTGTCTGTGTCTGTTCCAGGCATCTTCTTGCAGCTTCAGGCACCCACCCCCCAACCCCAGTCCGCTTTTAGCCTCCCTATCTTAGTGTGCCTAAAGGGAAAGGAATGTGCTTATTAAGGCCCACTGTTTTTACTGGGGCCCATTGTATGAGTGTGAAGTTTGGTGATTACCCAGGAGACTTCCCCCCAATCCCAACCCCCCCAACCCCCTTCCTTCTGTGCCTGAGCTATTTATCTGTGATTTACAGGCTGAGCTTTTAGGCTGCCCTTTGTTAGAAGAGAAGTAATTTCTTTGAACCACATGAGGTTAGAAAGGGAGCTTTCTGAGCTGCTTTTTGTTAGAGGGAAAGTTTTCTGCCAGGGACTCACTTTACCCTGTCTACCTAAATTTCTTTCTGCCTCCTATAACATTAGGAATTATGGGTGTATAGGGACTTATACCCTCGCTAAACAAGTATGTGGAAATTGTGTAACTTGTCAAAGGATAAACCAAAAGGTAATTAGAAAACAAGCCATGGGAGGAAGACCTCCTGGACTAAGACCATTTCAAAGCATCCAAGTAGATTTTACAGAAATGCTCAAAGTAGAAAGATTAAAGTATTTACTGGTGATCGTAGATCACCTTTCCAGCTGGGTGGAAGCGTTTTCTCTCCCAACAGCCACTGCCAGGAGTATGGTCAAAATAATATTAGAACAGATTGTACCTAGATTTGGCCTGGTGAAAAATATTGATTCAGACAGTGAGAGCCACTTTACCTCAAGGGTGTTAAGGGGAATTATGGAAGGTTTACAAATTAGATGGCATTATCACACCCCTTGGCATCCCCCTTCCTCTATAAAGGTAGAAAGAGTGAATCAAACTCTCAAAAAGCATATCACCAAACTAATCTTAGAAACTAAAATGCTTTGGACCAAATGTCTACCAGTAGCACTCCACAGGATTAGGACAGCTCCCAGAAAAGACTTGGGATTGTTCCTCTACACGTTATTATATGGGCTCCCGTATTTAGGCAGAGCTACAGATCTCCCTACTATGAAAACCAAGGATCAATTCTTAAGAAATTATATACTGGCCATATCCTCCACCCTGTCATCCCTTACGTTAAAAAGACTTCTAACTCAAACTCCGCCCTTAAGTTTGTGGTTCACCACTTCCAGCCTGGTGACTTGATGCTGATTAAGACTTGGAAAGAAGACAAGCTCCACCCAAGCTGGGAAGGTCCCTATCAAGTGCTCCTGACCACGGAGATGGCCCTGCAAACAGCTGAATGGAGATGGACTCACTATACTAGAATCAAGGGACTGGTAAAAGAGGCCCTGGAAGGGAGGGAAAAAGACCAGTGGAAAGTGCCCGAGTCTAACTTTAAGGAACCCTTAAAGTTAACTCTAAGAAAAATTTAAAAAGAAAACATGGGTTGGCCCCATTTCTGGAAGTTAATATGACTGGGATGGGCTACTATGCAAAGAGCAGAAGGTCAAAATGGAAGCTGGCAGGGGACTCCTCTCTACCCAGTCAGGTTGGTGATTAATGTGACCAAGACAGTAGCACCCCAGACTATAAGATTTAATGCCTGCCAGGTTTTACCTTGTGGAAATTTAAAAAATCAGAGACAGATCTCACAGGCAGATAAGTATATTTGCCCTAAACCAAATATAGGTTACAGTAGGGCATCGCCCTGCCCAAACTGGGATAATATATGGTGGACTACCCAATTTCAGGGTTGGACAGTAAACATGGGGTGGGTAACTCCAAGCTGGAGACCCCTAAAGAGTAAACTACATCTGTCCAAGGGCTTCCTGCCAAATTACTGCCAGAATTTTTTTTGAGACGAGTCTCCCTCTGTCGCCCAGGCTGGAGTGCAGTGGCCGATCCCAGCTCACACACACAGGAGGAGATCGAAACCATCCTGGCTAACACGGTAAAACCCCGTCTCTACTAAAAATACAAAAAATTAGCCGGGCGTGGTGGCAGGTGCCTGTAGTCCCAGCAACTCAGGAGGCTGAGGCAGGAGAATGGTGTGAACCCGGGAGGTGGAGCTTGCAGTGAGCTGAGATCAGTTGGATGCCACCAGTTGAATGGCCTGATAAAACAGGTTTGCGCTAAACATGATACTAGCAGAAAAAGGGGGTGTATATGTTATGCTGGGTGGGAAATGTACTTGCATTCCCAACACTACTACCCCAGATGGGACCATCACAAAAGCTTTATAAGGACTAACAACTCTAGCCAATGAACTGGCAAAAAAGGCTGGAATTAATGACCCATTTACAGGTTGACTAGAAGGTTGGTTTGAAAAATGGAAAGGCATGGTAACTTCAATCCTTCCATCTCTCTTAATTGTGCAGGAGTCTTAACAGCAGTGAGATATTGTATAATCCCTTGTGTGAGGGGACTAGCACAGAGATGAACTGAAACAGCTATTAATAAACAAATGCCCATGACTTACCAGCAAAGTAACCGGCTACTATTAGAAACCAAATTAAACTCACTCTCCTATGTAAGGAAGAAAAAAAGTAAACAACTTCTAGAGCAATTCAAGGACCAAAAGGGTTTAAATGAAAATGAGACCAAAGGAAGTCAATAGAAAACAGGAGGGAATTTGTGAGAAAACATTTTACATGGTCCATTTTCAAGGCATGATAAATCTAAGTATTGGCAGCCAGCCTGCAAATGTAACAAGCTGCATGGGCCATGCACCTAGAAGGTCACAATAAGCGAACAGAATGTAGAGGAGGGGTCAGCCCATAAAAGGGAAGAAAGTTTCATTATTGGGAAATTGAAACTTAAGTGGGGAAGGGGACAGGGTATAACCTTATAAGGGGGATAATGAAACTTAGGTGACGTCCGGGAAGATTGTAACTCCATAGTACTCGACCAGTGAGGAACTGGGGGAGGCACTTGTATGCTAGGAGATAAATTACCTGCTGTGACTGTCCTGAGTGTGCCTGCCTACTAGACACCCGATCTTGCAAGAGCACTATTAAAAGTCTCACTTTTGCTGTTCTTCATGCTGCTAAGTCCATTCTTTGGGTTTGGATGGGTGAGAGTGTTTCTCACAGCCTCATTCGCTCATTTTACAAACTCAGTTCCAGACATTGTTCTGGACCAAGGCCAGCCCTGCCCTCAAGGCACTTCTAGTTCAGTGAAGTAGGCAGACAAGCAGATAGACCAGCGTCGGGGATACGTCAACAGAGATAAGCCCAGGTGAGACCAGGGTGCTGAGCCCTGCAGGGCATCCTCCAACCTGCAGGTGAGGCCTGGGGAATGCAGAGGGATGGCATAGGAGGTTTTGCCTGGGCTGAATTCTAAGGAAGGTGTAGGCGTTAGCAAAGAGGGTGATGAGGGCGGGAGTGGGGTGCAGGTTGTGCAAAGCCCTGGGGGCCAGATAGCACACCCAACCCAGACTCTCTGTCTGGCTTTAGGGTATCAGTAGGTGGAGGCAGTGATAGCCTTAACTTACGGAGTCCAAAGCTGAGGGGTTCCGTTTGAGGAGGAAGGGTCCAGATGGGCCACGGCAGGCACAGTGGGGATCTGGGGAGCTTCCCAAAGGGGTGGGGTCTATACTGGCCCTTGAAAGAGACTGGGGTGGCTGGGGCACTGGACGGTGCCATTTGTGGCTTTACATGTGTCCTGAAGATGCTCCAGGGGTTTTCACTGATGCCTCAAGTGCCAGCCCCTTGAGAATGGGATCATTTTTCTGATGGGTCAAGGGCTGACAGCCCCTTCCCTTCTGCTCAGAAACGGCCTTGGCCAACAGTCTCACATGCCACAGAGAAGTAGCTGAGGTCCACCAGGGTGTGGGGTTTGGGCCTAGAGGGACTTCTCGGGTTATGTCACGTTTTCTTATTTATCCCTAGAGGTGGTTCCAGGGAAGAGGGACAGGAGAAAAAGCAACCCTTTCCTAATAGAGTGAGCACGGGAGACCAGAGACTTGGAACCTCTCCTCAGCAAGTCTGCGGCAGACCGGACTCACCCGGCCTCCTGAGCCCCCTGGAAGGGGCGGTAGCCAGGCCTGGGGTAGATGGGGGCCAGGAACTGGGGGCCTGTGCAGCTGGGGCTTAGGCCTCTGCTTGCTCAGTCAGAACATGAAGACGGTAAAGGTGCCTTTTCCCTGCGGCTCTTACAGAGGGACAAAGATGATGGGGCTCTGAGGCCACCAGAGAGAATGAGGATGTCCTACCTCGAGAAGGGAGTATCCCAAGAGCAAGCTGCGCCTGAGAGATGAGCCTCGTCACCACCCCGCTGCTCTGGATCTTCAGCAGAGCAAGCCCCGCCCTGCCCTGCTTGTTTGAGGTGGCCAGGACACACACACACCCTGCCCACAAGCGCCCTATAAAGGAGACTTCTGTCCTGAGCACTGTGTGCTGGGCCCTTGCACATGCGACTGTATCACATCCGTCATCCCATGAGGTGGGTACTATCACCATCTCCATTTTACTGGTGAGTAGACGGAGGTTCCGAGACACAAAGTCACTACAGGTGCACGCTGGTAAGCAGCTGTGCTGCAACGTGGGCCCAGGTCTGCCTGTCTCCAAAGCACACACTCTTGACGCTGCATCCTCTCGCTCAGGCTGGGGAAGATGGAGTGGTGTGGCAATCGAGGGCTTTGCATAACCAGATCAATAAGGATGCCTCATTTACAGGTCCACTCAGTCCATCTTTACTGTATGTACATGTGCTCTGTGCTAGGCACTGTGCCCAGTGCTGGGGACACTGTGGGGAACAGAATCCACATAGTCCCTGCCCTCGGGGCCTTTCTGAGATAGCTGCTCACAGGTAAGGAAGAGAAGACACCCTGATAAGCACCATGGAGGAAAAGTACGGGTTACTGAGAGAGGATAACCTTGGAGCCTAATTTAGGCAAGGGCAGGGGTTTTCAGGAAAGATTTCCTGGAGGAGGTGAGTGGAAGTAAGATGAGTGACCAGGAGTTAGCCAGGGGAAGATGAACCAGAGCATTTCAGACCCAGGCTATTACACATGCAAATGTGGCAAGGGGAAGAGCTGGCTGGGGCACATAAAAGTTTTGTGAGTGGGGCAGAGTGCAGTGGGTGAAGGAGGGCAGATTGGGTAGGGGCCCAATGGGGCAGGGACTGGGTGGGGATCATGGAGAGGCTCTGGGAAGCCAAGGTGGTATGTGAAATGAGAACTCCCTCTTTTTCCCATCAGCTAAATGGGAACCACACACTGCACGTAGCCTCCTTAGCTAATAGCTTGGGCTGTATTAATAGTGGTATAGCATGCAGATCAAAGGAGGTGATTTTTCCTCCTTCTGGCTCAGACTGCATCTGAAGAATTATGGTCCTTTTGGGGCCCCTGCTGCCCAACATCTGAAGGAGAAGAGCCAGCATGCTGAAGGCTTTGCAAAAACCAGGCTGGATGAGCAGGGAAGAGCAGCCTCAGGGGACAGCAGTTTATCCTAGAACTCTGAGAAATGTCCTGGAGGCAAAGTTGAGCCCCAGAGAAGGAAAATGTCCAGCTTATGGAAATGGAGGGAGTGACTGAGGGAGTAAGCCTCCTGCTCTGGGGATGTTTGAGGAGACACTGGAGGACCAGAGGTGTGAAGAGGGCCCCTGCTTAGCTTCATGGGTGGCCTAGAGTCAGTCCTTGCCATTGCTCGAGTATCTACTGTGTGCTCCCTCCTTTCCACCTTCAGGCTGGAGACTCACCACACATGTCCCCCAAACACAGGATTTTGGACCTCACAAATGGTGGGGCTGACCCAGGCTAGTCTGGGGCGGGCTCAGGTCTTTTTTTCTGCTCAGACTGCTTTGGGGGAAACCAGGGATTAGGGATGGGTGGTGGTCTCAGGCCCATGGGCTGGCTGCTGCTGATCACCCTCTGAAGTTATTTCCCAGGGCCTGACTTTCAGAGTCCTGAGTGTGTTCTGGTGCCCTGGACCCTCCAGCTGTCAGTCACGCAGTCCTCACCTATTCGGAACCTAAGAGAAGTCAATACATCCCTCTTCCACTTCCCCTTAAACTGTGTGCATACTGGGACTTCCCAGTCGTCTCTGGGTGTTCCCCAAACAGAAGGCTGCCCTGGCTCTCATACCGCAGACCTCTCACTCTTGGCTGCCTCTGTCTCTGATGTTATGTTAGTCCCCAGGCCCTCACCTTCTTTCCTGATAATGGCTCCAACCCATGCCCACGGCCCCTTTCCACTGCCATCACTGGGCCTCCAGACCTGGCCTCCCTGGAGGTCCTGCCACCTACCTTCTGCTCCCCGCTTGGCCTGTCTACTCTCTGCTGAGTTCTGAGACCAGGGCCAGTTACAGTTAAAAAAAAAAAAAATGGAAGAATAATGCATATGGTAAAGTGCACACATCTTAAGGGTACACAGCATGATGGATTTTTTTTTTTTTTTTGAAACAGGGTTTCTCTGTCACTCAGGCTGGAGTGTAGTGGGGCAATCACCGCTCGCTGCAACCCAGCCTCGACCTCCTGGGCTCAGGTGATCCTTCCACCTCAGCCTCCTGAGTAGCTAGGATACAGGAGTGTGCCACCATGCCCAGTTATTTTTTGTAGAGATGGGGTTTTGTCATGTTACCCAGGCTGGTCTCCAACTTCTGGGCTCAAGAGATCTGCCCACCTCAGCCTCCCAAAGTGCTGGGATTACAGGTGAAAGCCACCACACCTGGCTGGCCTGCATGATGGATTTTTAGAGGTGTACACACCTGTGAACCACCACCCAGATCAAGCTCAAGAACTTTTTCAGGTCCATTCTTTCCAAAAACCCCCATCCTCTAGGCTCCCGCAGCTTTACTGTGGGATACTTGGCAGGTGTTGCCTTATATTCCAACTAGCTAGAGGGCCAGACCTCTCCTGTTTGCTGTTTTTGCTTCACCCTGCTGACCTAGCGTGGTGCAATGCCCGTAGGTAGTGCTCCTGAGGCCCATTAGATGGAAG